GGACAAAGGGAAGAGACATTTTAGGATGTTTATAGCTAGCCCAAGCTGATTGCCTCTCTTGTGTTTATTGTTTAAATCATTAGTGATGTCATCTTCTAGGCGTTTGTTATGTTGTTCTTTTAACCCCGTCATGTCTTAAACACTCTCTCCTGGCTTTTCTTCACTTCTCTGTCTGCTGCACTGGCCATCAAGTCCCTTAGATTCCTGGCGACAGGAATTCTTAAACAAGAGCTCCACTGAAGAAAACAGATCAGAAGATGCCAGAACCCTTCTTCTCTAAACTTAACTTTGCCACTTATTCATACAAGTCACTAAAACTGATCATCTATGGGTACAAGACAGAGTTTTGTCCTAAAGGATTGCTGGTACACAGTCATCCCTTGGTACCCTTGGGCAATTGATTTGAGGATTCCCCAGGAACACCAAAATATGAGAATGTTCATGTCCCTTATGTAAAATGTCATATTTTCATATAATCTACACACATTGTCCTATATACTTTATCTCTAGATTACTCATAATACCTAATACAGTGTAAATGCTATGTAAATATTTGATACACAGAATTATCTAAGCAATAGACAAGGAAAAATGTCCTGTAGTGGTTTGAAAGAAAATGACCCCCATAGGGAGTGGTACTACTAGGAGGTGTGGCCTTATTAGAGGAAGTGTGTCACTGGGGGTGGGCTTTGGGTCAAATGCTCAACCCAGGCCCAGTGGCACTCTCTCTTCTGCTGCCTGCTGATCCAGATATAGAACTCTCAGCTCCTTCTCCAGCACCATGTCTGCCTGTACACTGACATGCTTCCTGCCATGACAATAATGGACTAACCCTCTGAACCTGTAAGCCAGTCCCAATTAAATGTTTTCCTGTATAAGAATTGCCATGATCATGGTGTCTCTTCACAGCAATAGAAACCCTAATTAAGACATGTCTGTATATGTTTAATATGGAAACAATTTTTCTTTTGTTTTTCATGTATACACATGTGATGTGTATGTGCATACGTGTTTGCATGTGTATATATGTTCTCATGTGTGAGCACTTGTGTGTGTATGCATGTGAAGGCCTAAAGTTGACGTTAGGTGTCTCCCATAGCCTTCCAACTTATTTATTGAGACAGGGTCTTTTAATTGAACCCAGAGCAATCAATCAGCCTGACTAGTTAGTTGGCTTGCTCTGGAGATCCCATCTCTGCCTCCCAAGTGCTGGAATTACAGGTACCTGCCTCATCTGCCTCATTTTCACATGGTTTTGGCATCTGAACTCCAGTCCTGATGAAGCATTTTATCCACTGAGCTGCCTCTCCATGTCTCCGGGTTCAGCTCCCTGAAAAAGGACTTTTGATCCCCAGTGGAGTTTGTAGCTGAGGAATCCACAGGAGAAGAGGGCTGACTATACTGAAGAATACTTGGGGGATGGAGAGATGGTTCAGTGGGTAAGAGTGCTGGCTGTGAAACCGTGGGGACTGGAGTTCAGATCCCCAGCACCCCAGTGCTGTGCGGGGAGGGGTCTGAGTGGGTGGGTGGAGGCAGGATGGTTGGGACTTGCTTGCTGCTGCCTTAGAGCTAGGTTCAGTGGTAGAACTTGTCTCAGGGGAATAGATGGAACGTGATAGAACAGGTGCCAGATCCTCCTCCGGCCTCTGTGTGTGTAGAGCACAAACACACACAGAGAAAATACACAAGGAAAGCTGGGTCTGGAATCCTAGCTTCTTAGGAGGCTGAGGCAAGAGGAGAAAATGGTCAGGGCCAGCCTGGGCTACAAAGTGAGACTGAATCCAGCCCAAGCAACTTAGTAAGACCCTGTGTTCAAATTTGAAAGGGAAAAAAAAATGGGAGAGGGTTTTCTAAGGCCCTGTCTCTCCCCAAGGTTCTATAGGCAGTTAATGGTTCCTGGGAGAGGGAAAGGAATTTCCTTCTTTTTTATGTAGGCACTGGTAAGTTTCCCATGCTTCCATAACTAATTCCTCACCTATGTTCTTGTAAGCAACCCTAATTAAACTCGCTGGGCTACCAAAAAATACAATACAATACAAGATAAAGGCAATCAGCAAGAATGGGAGCTGAACTGGAGAGGTTAATGGTGGTGAATATGACCCGAGTACAGTGTGTGTGTGTGTGTGTATGAAAGTGTCATAATGAAACCCACTGTGTGTGATTAATGTATGCTAATAAAATAAATTTTAAGTATTATAAATGGGAATGGCTCATGTTAGAGCACTTGGCTAGCATGCACTGGGTCCAGGTTGCTGTCCCCAGTGTGGAAGGGAGGGAGCCATGTGAAGTACTGTATACAAGTTCTTTCACTGTGTGGGAATGCATTAGGAAGCACCTCCTCTCTCTGCAGCCCTGTAAAATGAAGCTGATAAAAGATAGCAGTGTTGCTGAGGTAAAAAAATGAATTACCAAGAAAGCTTTCAGGAAATAATACTAGTTATTTTCCTGTATGTGCACATTTAACAAAATAAATACTTTGTCTGCCTTATCTGGGCCTTTTAGCCTGGGTGAGCTGTTCTAGTCATATCAGAAGCCAGGGTCTGTGAGTGTGGCTACCCACTAAGTCAGTAACACGCGGGCCTAGGACTTCCACTAGGCTCAAGCCATTAACTTTTCTCACAGTGGATCTTACTGGACAGCTAAACCTACCTTTCTGTTTCATGCTGGGTTCCTTTAGTGTGGGCAGTAGGATTCTCTTTAAATTGAGTTCTCCATGTTCAAGCATAGATAAAAATATACTTACATTATCTGCCAGACTCCCTTGTTTAGGATGCCTGTGTAGATTCGGTCTCTGTGAAAGAGCACTATTGTCTCTACAAACTGGTCATGCTGAGCTCCCCAAGGAAGATCGGCATTAGAGACAGATTTGGAGCAGTTCTGAACCTGCTTTCCTGTGTGGAGGAGCATGCAAGAGGCGCCCGAGAGTGAGCAGCTCCAACACTTCGTTGGTACTGACAGCTGCCGTTGGCAGGCATACTCTGCTCTGAACTCTGTGGACATTTGGAGTATCACCTCTGCCTCGCGGGGTGATCCTCTCCTAAGCCTTACCCCACAGATGAGAAAACAAGATGAGGAAGTCCTCCAGCTGCGAGGTGCTGGGGCCTGAGCCTCACGCTGAGGGCCTCTCTTCATCACCACCCTCACCCTGTGCCGGCTGTCTGTCACTACCAACCTTCCATCCTTTTTCTCCACCCTCCTTACTCTCTTCTTGCTTCCCTGTGGCATCCATGATGCAGACTCTGGTGACACCCATGGGTGAGTGCACTGTAGACAGCTGCTCCCCTGGCTACACACACACACACACACACACACACACACACACACACACTACAAACTATACACTACACACACATACACTATACATATTACACACACACCAAACATACTACACACACACCACACACACACACACTACACATACAACACACACACACACCACACACACACTACAAACTATACACTATACACACATACACCATACATACTACACACACACACCAAACATACTACACACACACACACCACACACACACACTACAGACTATATACTATACACACATACACTACACACACTACATACTATATATTACACATACACTACACACACTACATGCTATACATTACACACACACACACACACACACACACACACACACACACACACACACACGCATGCACACACACACACAGAGTCCCAGCCACACTAAGCTCAGCACTGTCTGTTGACTACACCTGCCAAGGCTCTTTTATTGGAGGAATCCCCACAGACTAATCTAGAAATACCCACGTCTGGGGATGTCTGGGCTGACCTGGAGGACATGCTGTTCAGGAGGCTTTCTGTTTTAGTCTGATGGTGCTGCCTTAACAGAATACCATAGAATGAGTAATTTATAAGAAGAGAAAGTTACATCTCACAATCTGAAGGCTTGTAAGTCTCAAATCAAGGCATTAGTGATGATTTGGTTGTCTGGTGAGGGCTGTATCCTTCTCAGGGAAGGAGTTGTCTTCAGGGGCCGAAGGAAAAGCTACCAGTACTACATAAAGCCTTTATAAGAACCTCAGACCCATCCGCCACCTCAGCACCATTTCGTAACCCTGCCTCTTAATACCATCATAGTAGCAGACTTTCAGTTTTGGAGAGGACAGTCAAGGTGGCCTCTCTCATGCTCCCAGAGCACTCCATATGTCCTTACCCTGCATGGTGGCGACACTGTCACACCTGCTCGTCTGCCGTCTGGGCTCTCTCTTCAGGTGAGAGTCTACACAGGCCCCAGTCATAGCTGATGTGACCTGCTGTCTCTCTGCATCCCTCATAGTATGCTGTAGACAGGAAGTGCTCGATAAAGTACCTGGTGAATGAAAAGTGACCTGGTATCCCAAATACCAAGCAACAACCAATCCCAGAGATACATGCACAGAGGCATCTTTAGGGCTGTGGTAGCAGAGACAGGCCTCTGTCACAGGGTGCCCAACCTCGGGAACCGGAGGCTGTGCTCAGGCTTGCTCAGCCTTTTCTCTAGTTCAGGTACCGCACTGCTCCAGGGAAAGCTGGCTGTATCGTCCTTTGCAGTGCAGTTGGGCAGTGTCCTGGATGCAGAACCCCGCCTGCTGTTGAGATCAGGGGTGGGTATTTACAGATCAGAGCTAAGCCAAGTGGACCGTGGAACCGGCCCCCCGTCCATTCTGCTTCCTTCACGCAGCAGACATAAGATGCCTTCGTGGAAGAACTGTTAACATTTATTTTAGTTCCCAGAGGTAAAACATGTAGTCAGCCATTCTTCAGAGCAAATGTTACAGAAATAAATGGTGCATCGTGGAGGCAAATGGTTTCTGAGGCTGTGGGAAAAGAGAGGGCGGCAGTCATAAACCGTGGCACTCACATTTGCCCCGTGCTTCCACCTTCCAGGAGCGTGTCCTCCACCCACAGGGAACAAGACCCAGCTGCATTTCAGCCAGCCGTGGTTTCCATCTGTGCTGATTGTAATTTTTATCCACCATAGGTTTGAAGACATACCTGATATCGGGTCAGAGAGCCAAGGAGTCCCACTGCAGCTGTGCAGAGGCCCTGCTTTCTGGCTTTGAGGTCATTGACGGCTCACGGGTGTCCTCGGGCCCTAGGGGACAGGGGACAGCATCGCCAGGGAGTGTCAGTGACTTGGCACAGACTGTCAAAACCTTTGATAACCTTAAGGTTAGTTTTTTTTTTCTCTCTTTCTCTCTTCTACAACTTTGTAGTAATTCTACCATAAAACACATGAACTAATAAACACCATATGGCAAATGAATCAGGATGCCTTACAATTTAGTTTTCTTAAGTTAAGAGTTTAGTATAAAGTTAGCTACATTGTGCATTTTTAATATGCTTGCATTTTTAGCATTTTTATACACCTCCATTTCCTCTCTGTTTTGCATAAAAATATTTCTCATTTGAGTTTTTTTTCCCTGCAATCTGTGGTGTCTTTGGGGACCTCTCAAAGATAATGATAATGTCAGTAAAGGTAATTTTCCTTACATCATGCTTTGAGAGCTGGAATCTATTTTACTTTGGAAACCACCTTAAATACTCTCCTGTCTCTTGAAGTCCATAATTTTGTGATTATCTTCCTTCCCTCCCTCCCTCCCTCCCTCTCTCTCTCTCTCTTTCTCTCTCTCTCTCTCTTTCTCTCTCTGCCTGTCTCTGTCTCTCTCTGTCTCTCTGTCTCTCTCTGTCTCTCTTTCTCTCTCCTTGTTTTTTGTTTGTTTTTGTTTCTGTTTTTTGAAACAGGGTTTCTTTCTCTGTGTAGCCCTGGCTATACTGGATCTCACTCTGTAGACTAGACTGGCCTTGAACTCACAGAGATCCGCCTGCTTCTGCCTCCTGAGTGCTGGGATTAAAGTCGTGTGCCACCACCCAGCAATTTTGTGATTATCTTAAATTGTGTTGGTATGGATGAATCTTGCAATGTAGTTCTCTTTAAAAAAGAACACTGCTGAGAACATTCTGGTGTTTTGTTACTGGAGCAGAGATCTCCTGTGGTAGTCTAGAAGTGCCTATTTCTGGACTGCCATGTCAGAATAAAACTACTAAGGAATTAACACACTCAGCCTTGGGCATAAGCAGTTTTTCTCCTTGTGAGCTATTTTTCCCTTAGCAAATTGGATTTAGTTTCCCTACTGGTTCCCTCTGTTTATGTTTTTACTTTTACTTTATTCATTCTCTCTGTCTCTCTCTGTCTCTGTCTCTCTGTGTGTGTCTCTCTGTGTATGTGTGTGTTTGCATGCATGTTTCTGTTGCCTGTTGGGGTGTGTGTGTGTGTGTGTGTGTGTGTGTGTGTGTGTGTGTGTGTATGGAGGCCAGAGGTCAACAACCTCTGCTGTTGTCCCCAAGAACCATCTGCCCCCCACTTTAAAAACAGGCTTCTTTCTCACTGGGACCTGTGGCTCACCAGTTAAAGCAGACTGTCATGCCGTGTCCTGTCTCTGCCTCCTCAGCACTGGGAGTGAACATGCATGTCCCCAGACCCACTTCTTCACAGAGGTGCTGGCACCACACTCAGGTCCTCATGCTTACATAGCGAGCCTTTTTCTGATGAGGATTCCTCAGCCCTTCTACTTATTTTCACATTTAAATATCTGCTGTTTCCATTTTTAAAAAGAGAAAAACACACTTCTAACAGTTCTTTGCTGTTCTGAGTGTTCAGATAACGAAACAGTGGGACGATATGGTAACAGCTGGCTCGTATGACTTACCTCAGCCATTAGCAGATGTGAAAGCTAGCTGCATGTCTGTCACTTTAAGAGTTTTTATAGGCTGGTATAGTGACTTATTCTATAATTCCACCACTCAGGAGGCTGAAGCAGAGGATTACTGTGAGTTTGAGACCAGCCTGAACTAAAGAGCTAGACCCTGTCTTGAAAAACAAAAATAAAACTACCTGTATCATGTGGCTGGAATAGCCAGGCACCCATCATCTGATTACTTGTGGTCACTGCTGTGTCCACACTTATTGAAAGTACTCATTTGTCATTGTAGTCATGTGCTGTATTAGTTTAATGAAGCTTCTTTACAGTTCTAACAGTTCGGACCAAATAATCCTGGGTGTTGGGTTGTGCTGCATGTTACCACACGGTCAGTACCACCTCTGACCTTTGCCTACTAATACTTCTGCCAGATATACCCCTTCCCCAATTATGCTAACCTGAGATTTCCCCAACGTTGCCCAGTGTCACCTGAGAGAAAGGGGAAGAACACTGGGCTACTAGCCTGGGTGACAGCCTAGGATAGTAGTGGACCCCTGTAAATGCAGGACAGTCAGCCTTAGAGATAGGGACAGGTACTTCAGCAGCAGTAGAAGGGACCTCCCACTCTACAAACTGACTTAACACAGGTAAGGAAGGATAAAAAATGTGGCTTTCCAAAAGTGTTCTTCTTACATATGGGAAAGTGGTCTCCCCCAGGCCTCAAACTGAACCTTATTTAAGTAGAAAAGTAGAGCTCAAAACTCAAACTTAATGACGTGTGTTCATCTGCCTGTTGGGCATGCATGACTGAGTCCCCCATGACACCCTGGCAGCTCTAGCATCAGGGATTCTATGCCCTAAGACAGATTTCTTTCATATTAAAAGACCATTTTCTTCTAGTTGCAAAGATTTGTTTTGATCTGAAGGGCAAAAACTCCTTAGCACATTCTATTGCCGTGTACACATTTCCAAACAACATGAATTCTTGGAAATGGCATAAGGATCTATCAAGTTGACTGAACTGCCAAGACATTTGTGAAAAGGGGGAAAAGAAGATCTTTGTGTCCCTTTCAGGAGGGAAAGATAGTTCACGAAGTATAATTTCTGGGTTCTGGATGGATAGTTTGGGCACATGGTCAGGTTTTTTCTGACTAGAGATATCCCAGAATATTGGGATCATTTGGATTCCACATTTGGGGCACACAGAACCTGAAAAGATAAAGGGAAGGCCACCTGCTGGAATAGCTACTGCACGGAGCTCTTCTTACAGTCCCATCTCCCCAGCAACAGAAGTGAGCAACCATCCAGTCCTGAGCGCTCAGGAGCACTGGGTCACTGCTCTGATTCTACACATAGAGGCAGAACACTGAGTCTGCATCCGAGGCAGTGAAGATGATCACCAGCCCTGGAAGATCCTCCTCAAGTAGAGTTTGCAAAATACCAGTTGTCCGGTCTGCATCCTTTGTGCCAGTTTCTGCATGCACCTCAGTGCCTTGGGCGTGTGACATTGCTTCGTTGCCTCGGTGATACCATCTGCCCTAACACGAGCTGCTCCGTTGCACTGGAATCCTCTGCAGCATCTGTTTACTTCCCCTCAGCAAGCTGCTTTTTCTTTGTCAGTGGTTACTTCATCGAGGAAAGGAAACTCCTTGTAGATTTGTGACCCTGTGCCCTGAGGAGGCCTACCGTAAGGGGGTGTCACTCAAAACGTGTTCCCTTGTGCAGTAATTCTCAGGACGAACACAGGTGTGACAGGCAAAAGGAACTCTGGTCTGGTTGACTTGTGAAATTCTGAGTCAGACAACCCAGACAGGGTCTCTCTGACCTCAGAGAGCTGCATTAGTGGTTGTTGCTACCTGCCCCAAGAACTGAGAAACCAGAGAGGTGTTTGGGAGGCACTCCTGCGATGTAACCCAAACCAGCCTCAAATCCTCCTGCCTCAGCCTCCCAAGTGCTGAGAGGAAAGGCATGTGACCACACATTTGACCCTGTTTCCCACAACTATAAGTCAGAAAATATTTTTTAAAGAAAATCTGAAGCCCGTGAGAAGGCTCACCAGGTAAAGGTGCCTGCCACCAAACCTGACAACTAAGTTCCGTCCCCAGGCCCTCGTGGTGGAAAGAGAAAGCTGACTCCCACAGGTTACCCTGATTTCCACATGCATACCACAACATGCATACAACATAAATAAACAAAAATGTAATAAGGAAATCATGTATGTTAGTTGAAGTAGAAAGATATACATAATATCCTTTAATGAATGTTATCAGCCGTGCAGTGCCATTTGTAAGTGAAATTTCCCCAAATACTAAATATTATTTCCATAACATAGTAACCCTCTTCTTTCCTATGGTCTCCTGAAACTAATCTATATGGATTTTTTTCTCTTTCTTTTTCTTTCTTTTTAAGATAGGGTCTCATGCAGCCCAGGCTGGCCCAGAACCTCGGATCTCTCTGCCTGTGCTTCTGGGTTTATAAACCTGGACTTCCAGGCTCGGCTGAAGCTAATCTATCCTTCACTTGGATTTTTTTTTTTTTTAATCAACCTTAGTTTTTAAGTCCAAAAGTCCTGTAGGGTTGAGGAACTAAATGAAAAGTTCAGTAATTCAGTGTTCTTTGATTTTATATAAGGTGGCTTTGAGCTCTTGTGTGTGAGTTTTCAGTTGTTTACTCACGGTTCTGCCTCCAGTGTTCGTGTACCGCTTCCTGTTCTCAGGTTGGTGGAGCCTTTCTTCTCTGTGGCAATTGCTGCTTTGTGTTTTCCTCTAAGGATTCATTTCTGTTTACCTCTTAATATTTTCTTGGCAGAAATCATCGGCTTTGAAAGTGCTCCTGCTCATACCTAGTCCATTTTTTTAAGTGACAAAGTCCTCACCATAGATGACATAGTTAACCTGATGTCTTCTTCCCATCACGGAGCACCTGTGTGTGGTGGTTAGGTCAGATGGTTTTCTTTTCGTGTTTCGCTTGGGCTCATAGCTCCTCCGTGGCTTTCTGACTGTGACTCTGTGTGGGTGGGCCTCTTCTCTTCTCTCCTGGGCTTCCTCTTGTGTAAAATGGAACTTGTTGTCCATGTGTCATGGGTGTTTCTGAGGAGAAAAAGCTTGAGACACAAAGAGCTTGGAGAACTCAGTGATGCTTGTTGTCACAGAGTCATGCTTACCAGCCAGCCATGTCCAACATGGCAGTCATGGCGGAGGATGCTTCTTCTAGTACCAGGACACATTGCTAACTAATCAGTGATCAGTAGACTAAACAGGCAAATTCAGGCAGGACCTCACGGATGTTTCTATCCCCCAAAGAGGCTTCCCTGTTCCCTCCTGTGGCAGTTAGGAAAAGGGACAGGTGTTGACTTCAAAATGATTTATCTTGCAATAGGCAATAGCCTGGAGTAAAAACAAACAAACAAAAAACAGCAACCCTACGTTATAACTCTGTGTCATGTATTCTGACCAGAATTATGGTGTATAC